CAGAAAGCTTATAAACCCAAACTGACTGGATTAGCTAAAAGGGGTTCTAGAATTTGCCCAGGGAAATAAACTGTTTGTTAAGCCTTTGTGGCATATGGGGCCTTAGGTAGAATCCTGAGCTTCACCCAGAACCTTCTGGGTTGGGACATTCCCATTGGAGACAACATGCAGACTAGCCTGGAGCTTCTAGAGGATCAAAAGAGCTTTCTTGAAAGAAAAACCAGCATAAATTTTTTTTTTTTTTTAAAGTAGACTGGTTGTTATAAGATCAAGCAAGGTGTTCCCCTTGGAGCCATCAAGAAAGAAAAGTCATCCCAACAGGTTAAACCGCCTTCTAAGACTGAAACTCAAAGGGAACACACATGCAGTCTTTTATGCTTGCCCTGGTCTACTTGGGATTTTATGCTTGCCCTGGTCTACTTGGGATTTTATGCTTGCCCTGGTCTACTTGGGATTGTAAGTGGGGGAAATGCAGCAATGAAGACATGGACTGAGTTTTGCCATGATCCATAGACATCCAGATGAGAGAGAGCAGAGGAAGGACTGACTGAACTCTGAGGGAGACATGAACTCCTGAGCCATGGACCAGTGTCAACCAAAGAATGACCGAGCCACTGGCGACTAGTGTTGAGAGTGAAGTGACCATCTGGTCTGAAGTAGGGGAAGGCATGTAAGAACTCCCACACTTGCTAATAGTACCCATTTGACCTAGCTTAGATGACTTGCTGACTAAAACTCTACAGATAAAGATAAAAAAGTTTGATATAGGGAACAAGTGTAAATTGATATAATTTTATGAAGTGGACCTTTGCTTATGGATGAAGTTGTTCAAAATTCCAAGCAAAAGGGAAGAATTCTTTTTATCAAGGATCAAGCTTGCCTCCTCAGTACACTAGGCTGACAGGCAACTTACACTTTGGCTATCAAAAATGGGGGCTATAAAGACATAAAGTGGCTGGCTTACAAGCTTTCATGAGTGTGCTTAGTTTCAGAATGAGGGGGGTAAGGTAGAATTCCCCACAGAATAGTTTTCCTCTTTTCCAGATGGGTCTGGTGAAAGGGAATGGGGGAGAATGGGGATAGGATTTTATGATTCAATAGTGAGTAATTGTTATCAAGACTAATAACAATTGTCACAACTGTAAATGCAGAAGATTTGAAACTAAAATGGGGAATAGTACACCTTTCATTTCAGGGGAACAGTGGACCCTAGGACCACCAAGAGGGAAGAGCATGAGAGGAGTGTGGGATCCTAATCAGAAAAGCAACAACAACAGAAAAGGGAGGCAGAGGTGAGGCATGGAGAGACAGAGCAGCTGAGGACTCTAGGTTCATGGACTGAGAGAGGCTGTGTGCCTGTGGGCAGGAGGCTGGATTGCAAAATGTATCCTTTGGACAGTTAAATGAATATATTTTCTGTGTGGTAGGTATACATCAAAAAAAAAAAAGGCTGATGGTAGGGATTATAATCATTGCAATGAAACAATATATGATTTGTTGAATATAAAACTGATGATAAGCCCTGTAAACTTTCACTCAATTTACAATAAAAGCTTTAAAAAAAAAAAAAAAAAAATGACGATGGAAGAAATAGAGAGTCACTGTACCAAAAAGAATTTAATCTATGTTCAACCATTTCAGGAGGTAGTATATGACCAAGAACTGAAGGTACTGAAGGAAGAAGTCCAAACTGCACTGAATGCATTAGTGAAAAACAAGACTCCAGGAACAGACGGCGTACCAACTGACACGTTTCAACAAACTGATGGCAGCCCAGGAAGCACTCATTAGTTTATGCCAAGAAATTGGGAAAACAGTTACCTAGCCAACAGATTGGAAGAGATCCATATTTGTGCCCATTTCAAAGAAAGGTAAATTGAAGGAATGCAGAAATTATTAAACAGTATCATTAATAGCATATGCAAGTAAAATTCTGCTCAAGAAAATTCAAACTTGATTGCAACAGCACATCAAAAGGGAGCTGTCAGAAATTCAAGCTGGATTCAGAAAAGGACGTGGAACAAGGGATAGTACTGCTGATGTCAGATGGATCTTGACTGAAAGAAGTGATTACCAGAAAGATGTTTACTTGTGTCTTATGGACTGCGCAAAGGCATTCAACTGTGTGGATCATGACAAACTATAGCTACCATTGTGAGGAAAAGGAATTGCAAAATACTTAACTGTGCTCATGAGGAACCTGTACGCAGACCAAGCAGCAGTCATTTGAAGAGAACAAGGGGATACTATATGGTTTAAAATCAGGAAAGGTGTGTGACAGGGTTGTATCCTTCCAAAACATTATTAAATCTGCATGCTGAGCAAATTAGAGAAGCTAGATTATATGAAAAAGAATGATGCATCAGGATTGGAGGAAGACTCATTAACAACCTGCAAAGGCAGATGACACAACCTTGCTTGCTGAAAATGAAGGTAACCTGAAACACTTGCTGATGAAAATAAAGGAATACAGCCTTCAATATGGATTACAACTCAAAAAAAAATCCTCACAACTGGACCAATAAATAACATATGAACAGAGAAAAGACTGAAGATGTCAGGGATTTCATTTTACTTGAATTCACAATCAATGCCCATGGAAGCAGTAGTCAAGAAAGCAAATGAGATTCTGCTGCAGAAGACATCTTTTAAGTATTAAGAAGTTAGCAAAGATGTCACTTTGAGGGCTAAGGTGCCCCTGACCCAAGACATGGTATTTTCAATGACCTCATATGCTTGTGAAAGCTTCACAACGAATAAGGAAGACTGGAGAAATGATGCTTTTGAATTATGGTGTTGGCAAAGAATACTGAAAGTACTGCCAGAAGAAATGAATAAATCTGCCTTGCAGAAGTACAGATAGAATGCTAGTAAGACTCAAAGATGGCAAGATTTTGTCTCAATTACTTTGCACATATTAAAAGGAAGGATCAGTCTCTGGAAAAGGGTATCATGCTTGGTAAATTAGAGAGTCGGAGGAAAAGAGGAGGGACCCTCAACAAGATGGACAGACACAGTGGCTGCAACAATGAGCTGAAATCTAATAACATTTTTGAGGATCACAAAGGACCTGAGTATTTCATTCTGTCGTGCACAGGGTCACTATGATTCAGACATGACTTGATGGCATCTAACAACACTAAGTAATAAAAGTCAGAAGCTATTTTCTTAGTTTCAATGGAATGAAAATGAAAACTAATTCAAGGTAATTCTATATAAAAAGGCTACCTCACTCATGAACAATGTGATGTGCTTTCTCAAATGCTGGGATTCAGGGAGAGCGAGATTAGAGTAGCATGCCAGGGATTACATCTATGTGGGTAACATCCTTGAGAGAGAGTCTTAATGAGGAAAACAGGTCAGAACTGCTTCTTTTCTGGAGAACAGAAGATACTGAATGCTGACAGTAACAGCAGTATGAGTAAGGACTAGTATTTACTAAACACATACTATGTGCCAAAGGAGCTCTGGTAGCATAGTGGTTACGAATCAGGCTGCGAACCACAAGGACAGCAGTTTGAAACTACAAGCTGTTCTGCAAGAGAGAGATGAGGCTTTCTGCTCCCATAAAGATTTACAGCCTTAGAAACCCCATACAGGGTTGCTATGAGTAGGAACCGACTCCATGGCACATAACCACCACCACCACCACCATGTGCCAGGTAGAGTCCTGGTGTGGCATTGCAGGATAATGCGCTGGATCACAAGGTCACTTCAAGCCACAAGGTTAGTGGTTCAAATCCTCCAGCTGCTGCTCAGAAACCCAATACAGGGTTGCTGTGAGTCAGAACCAACTCAACGCCACTAAAACAACACAACATGTGCCAGGTACATTATGTCCAAGCACTGAGTAAATAATCTGGTCTCACCTGGATGACTGCAACAGCTTCATAATCAGTCTCACTGAACGCATCCTTGCTCCTCTATAATCTCTTCTGAACACGGCAGCCAGATCCTTGTGTATGTATCATGTTCTATCAATCACTCTTCTGCACAAAAGCCTCCCATCACTCCCTTTCACCCAGTGGAAAAGCCCAGGTCTCAACAATGGACCAACAGCCTCCACCCCATCACAGCCTCTGAACCCAAGCACCAGTGTCTAGTTGCTTCTTGAACCAGCCAAGCACGCTCCCCAGCAGCGTCTTTGTTCTTGCTTCTAGAGCACTTTCCCCCCGAGTAGATTGGCAGGACTTACACCGTCACTTTCTTCTGTTCCTGCTCCAATCAATAAGGTCTTTGCTGACTACCATAGCTCCACCCTGCAACGATTATGCAGAGTACAGGACTACTATGAACCAAGCTCCTTCCCTTATGTATTCCAATCCTCAAACTTTTAAGAGTCCAGACTTACTGAACCAGTTAAGACTAGAGGATTTCTGAGACTATGGTCCAGAGACACCCTTTAAGCCTTGAATAGAATTGTTCCCCTGGGTTTTAAATAACAAGTACATAAAATAAAGAATATCTCTGTGAGCACTGTGTGTCTTAAATAAAAAGCATCTATATGAGATCAAACGGCCAATTACTCTAATGCAAAGATGAGAAGGCAGTAGGGCCGGAAAAGTAGGTTACTGGGAATGGAACGGCTAGAACAGAAACAAACTGTTGACACTATGAAAAATGTAACCAATGTCAACAATCTGTGTAGAAACTGTTCAATGGGAACCTAATTTGCTAACCTTCACCAAACTATATAATACTATCTAAAATAATATAACAAAATAGTATTTAAAAACAAAAAACTACTAGTAGTAAAATTGTTCTCAAGCATAAATCTTTTAAATGGTATATTGCTATTGTTGTTATCTGCCATGGAGTTGGTTCTGACCCATAGCGACCCTGCACAGGGTTTCTGAGACTATAAATCTTTAGGGAGCAGAAAGCCTCATCTTTCTCCCACGGAACAGCTGATAGATTCGAACTGTTGACCTTAAGGTTCACAGCCCGATTCGTAACCACTACAATATTATAAAGTAAAAAACTTTATGAGAAATATATACCTGCAACTGTTGAAGATCATCTTCCTGAATGTTCTGGGACAAATTGTAAATCTAGAAAACAAAAATCCAACTTGGTATCACTCTAGCTTACTTTAAGAAAACCTCAAATAAGTAAGTCTAAAGCTTTATACAATTCAAGGTTTTTACGTATAACAACATGATATGTTCTAACAATAGCAACTGTAGTTGGAAAATTACACATATAAATTCTTCTTTGATAGTTTTAAACTTATTTTCCCCTAAGTTCTTACTAAATCTACATTTTCTACAGGATGTAATTAATGTTATTTGAAGCTCCATTTTTCAGATTTTTCTTAAGACCAATGTGAAAAAATTAATATAGCTCTTTCTTGACTAGAGCTTAACTTGATCTACAATTTACATGGAACATTTACATTTCACCACAGAAGTTCTGATAAAAGAACAAAACTGAAAGTCGATTCCTTCCTTTGTTTGCTTTCCTCTGGGAGCTTTTATCCTAGTCACACGGCTTTACCTGGACAGAACTGGTCATGGTACTTAAAGCAAAGATGGTAGCACAATCCTTCACAGTGGACTGGCTGTCAAATGCCCCCTGGGTATCCATCAGAATAACAGCAACCTGAAAAGAAAGAAAGAAAATATAAACAAAAAATGTTAAAGTAACAATGGGAAAAGCAGAGTTAACATTTAATTGAGCCCCACTTTAACCCCTGCTCAGGGGTTCTATAGGAAAAGTGCGAGTTATCTGTGTGCTTTGCTTTGACCAAGAACTACGCTGGAGAAGACTAGCTGCTCTGCTCGGGTGTGCTAGTATAAAGCAGATGCATACAGGCAAAATCACCCCACCAACTGAAACAGCATACTGCAATCACCCAGCCAGCCAGTCATTCAGATTACTATTTTTTTGTTGAAAAATAAATTTAAAATACTAATTTGAGTTAGTTTATACTTGTGGATAGTCCAATAAAAATAAAACATGTGGACTGAGATTTTTTTGGCATTTGTCTACAAGGCTGCATTTCTCTCTTATGTGTCTAGTAGGGTTCCCTAGTTGCTTAACAAATGAAAATTCACATGTATTATAACTCTTATAACAGAGCACATCAAAGATGCCAAAAGAAAGAAAGGAGTACTAGGCTAATTCATTCTATTAAATATAACTGTTGTTGTTAAGTGCTGTCCAGTTGGTTCCATCTCACAGCAACCCTGTATACGGTTTCCGAGGAGCGGCTGGTAAGCTTGAACCACTGACCTTGCAGTCCCGTGCTTTCGCCCACCAGGCTCCGTGAAACCTCATGCCTTCCACAATGGCTAATGGATCTACCCACTCCCACTCTTAAAGCGAGACTCATGCAAGATGTTAAATAAGATACAGTATGTATCTTACAATCTTTACACAAGTTTTATAACTTTCAGGACTAATATTTAAAAATGAAACTTCAAATTTATGCATAACATATAAGGTCCAAGCCAGGATTGGGTGAAATAGGTTCAGAAAGATGAGTAAACGCATCAGTGAGTGAGTGTCTGACTCTTTGCCAACACATGCTTTACTGTAATAACCAGCAGACCAGCTTTCTGTAAGGCTTTACTGAGTTCCAGAAGAGAAATGCCAAACAGGAAACCACCACAATTTGTAAAGTTTTAAATAAGATTTATGGTAATAGGTACAAGTGAAGCGACTGGAAGCTATTTCTAGTCTTAGAAATGATAACGTAATTATCAACAGTTTAAATTCTAGTCCCACTGTTCACAGTGTTAGTTTATTTTCACATAGTAAACACATTACTGTGGTAAAAGAGATACGGTATAAATTTAAGCAAAAAAGAAACCTATGCAAAAGAGAGATATATAAGCCCAAACCAAACAAAGTTTTTATCCTGAATATACTAAAATCTAAGGAGCTCTGGTAACGTAGTGGTTACGAATCGGGCTGCGAACCTCAAGATCAGCAGTTCGAAATTACCAGCTGCTCCATAGGAGAAAGATGAGGCTTTCTGCTCCCGTAAAGATTTACAGACTCAGAGAAACTCTGTACAGGGTCGCTGTGAGTCAGAACCGACTCCACAGCATATAACCACCAACCACCACCAAACTGAAACCTAATGACAGACATAAGGAGCTCTGGTAGCGTAATGGTTACGAATCAGACTGTGAACCGCAAGGTCTGCAGTTCGAAACTACCAGCCGCTCCGTGGGAGAAAGATGAGGCTTTCTGCTCCTGTAAAGATTTACAGCCTCGGAAACCCTGTACAGGGTCGCTATGAGTTGGAACCGACTCCAAAGCACATAACCACCACCACCACCAATGACAGATATAGAAGGTTCTCTCCTAACCAAATTTAATCCATTTTATGATGGAGATACTGCCACACTAAATGAGCAGCAAGAATAATCATGGCGGGTGTACCATTTGGAGGGGATTGTAACCATGGCAATGAAACGAAATACCATAGGATGAATGTAAAGCCAATGGCTAATGTTCTACCATGTAAACTATCACATAATTCACAATAAAAACTTAAAAAAAAAAAGAATAATCATGGCTAGGACAAGTGGATATCACATGCAAAAGAGTAATATTAGACTCTTTTCTCACACTACATACAAAAATTAACTCAAAGTGGATCAAATATCTAAATGTAAAAGCTAAAACTATAAACATCTTAGAAGAAATCATAGGAAAAATCTGTGACCTAGATTTACATTAGGATTAGGCAATGGTTTCTTAGATATGACACCTAACATACAAACAACCACAGAAAAAATAGCCATACCAGACTTCATCACATTTTAAACTTTTGTGGTTCAATGGACACTATCAAGAAAACAAAAAGGCAATCTACAGAAGGGGAGAAAATACTTATAAAGACACCATCTAATAAAGGTCCAGATCCAGAATGCATTACATGATTTACAATATAATAAAAAGACAAAAATGTACAAAGGATTTAGATTTTTCCAAAAAAGATATACAAATATACACATGAAATGATACTCAACATCATTAGTTATTAAGGGTAATACAAATCAAACCACAATGAGATATCACTTTACACACATTAGGATGGCTACAATAAAAAAGTTAGATAATATCAAATGTTGGCAAGAATGCGCAGCAGTTAAAGCTTTGTGCTTTGCTGGTAAAATGTCGGATAGTACAGCACTTCAGGGAATAGTCAGTCTGGTAATTAATTCCTCAAAAGGTTACACGGAGTAGCCTTGTGACCTTAGAAATACTGAGAGACGCCACTCCTAGATATACAGCCAAGAGAACTAACATGTTCACACATAATGTACACACACGTTCATCAAGAACATTATTCTTAATAGTCAGAAAGTATAATCAACGTTATTTCAGTTTCCATCTCTCAGACTTTTCTTAGGATCTGTCCTGGTGTGGTGTTGTGTGTTAGTGTGCTGGGCTGCAAAGCCGCTTTGAACCGCAAGGTCGGCAGTTCAAGCTCACAAGCCGCTCCCTGGAAACCCTATACAGGGTTGCTATGGGTTGGAACTGACTTGACGGCAACAACAACACAACATAGCTCTTTCTTGACCTTTGAAGAACTTAACTTGACCATCAGCTGAAGAACAAATAAAATGAGGTACACTCATACAATGAAGTAAAGTACTAACACACGTTGTTGTTGTTGTTAAGTGCCATCAAGTTGGTTTTAACCCACAGTGACCATGTATAGGGTTTCCAAGAGGTGGCTGGTGAACTTGAACCACTGACCTTATAGTTCAAACCAACTTTGCAGTCTAGCACATTAACCCACAGCGCCACACCAGGATCTAATACATGGTGCATCACAAATGGGCCTTGAGGGAACTGAGCTGAGTGGGGGACACAAAGCATATACACTGGATAATTCCATTTGTACAAACTATCCAGAGCAGGCAGCCAGCCATGAAGAAGGAAAGTACATTAGTGGTTGCCAAGCATTGAAGGACCGGGAGACTGGAAAACGACTGCTAATGGATACAGTGCTTCTTTTGGGGGTGATAAAATGTTCTGGAATTAGTTGGTAATAGTCGGACAGCCTTGCAAGTAAACTAAAAACTAATGAACTGCACAATTAAAAATCATAAATTGTATGGCATAAGAATTTTATCTCAGTTTTTAAAAAACAGCTAATCAATGCTCACATTTGTTCACTACAAAAGTGAAGATAAACAGAGGAATCAAGGGGAAATATCAAAAAGAAGCTGTTTGAAAAATGAAGGTTCATATACATACTTAATGTACCAGACATTGGGGGGATATGGTATTCTAATGCCATATGGTGAAAAATGAAGGTTCATATATATACTTAATGTACCAGACATTGGGAGGGATATGGTATTCTAATACCATATGGTGAAAGAGCAAACTGCCATAACCACTTGAAAGAACAATTTGCCTAAAAAAGTAGAAATTGGCCACTTCTATGTGGTTGTCAAATTCAGTTACCTAGAATCAAAGAAAGAAATACATTTTATATCATGATCAAATACACACATATATAAAGTTGAAACTAGTTTGTATGTATACCATATTTTTATAGGAATATTTATAGAAATATAATATCCAGTACCCAGTGAGGTAAAACTCACATCTGGCATCCAATCAAAAATTTTCAGGCATGCAGATCAGGAAAATATTACCAAGACAAGAGAAAACTCAATCAAAATCAACTCAGAACGGACACACAAAATCAACTCCAAACTGACACAGACATGAAAAATTGACAGACAATAACAAAACCGTATCCTATATAACTACACTCTATCTATATATTCAAAAAGTTAACCAATGACTTAAAAGATATAAAAATGAACTCCTAGAGATAAAAGTTTTCAATGTCTGCAACAAAAAAATACACTGGGCAGAGTCAACATGGCAGTAGAAAGATAAGCTATCTTGAAGACCTAACAATAGAAACTGTTCAAAATGAAACAGAAAAAGTAAGAACTAAAAAAATGAACAGATTCAAGAAGAATGAAAAGACAAGCCATAAATTGGTGGGAATTATTTGCAAAACACATTATTTGATAAAGAACTTATATTACAAAATATATAGAGAACACTTACCACTCAACACAAGACAATAAAAATGTGGGCAGGAGATCTGAACAGACATCTCATCAAAGAAAACAGACAGATGGCAAATAAACATATGAAAAGATGCTTAATATCATATGCCATTGTTGTTGTCATTGTTAAGTGCTGCTGAGTCGGTTCTAACCCATAGCGACCCTGCATAGGATTTCTAGGAGCAGCTTGTGAGCTTGAACCACTGACCTTGTGGTTCAAATAGCTTTGCCCCACTGAGCCACACCAGGACTCCATATGCCATTGTTGTTGTGTTGTTAAGCGCTGTTGAGTCAATTCCGATCCATAGCGACCCTGTATACGGTTTCCAAGGAGCAACTGGTGAGCTTGAACCACCAACCTTGCAGTCTGATACATTAGCCCACAGAGTCACACCAGGACTCCCTCATATGCCATTAGGGAAGTGCAAATTAAAACAATAATGAGACAACACTATACTTTTTTGAATGGCTAAAAACCAAAACACTGGCCACCAAATGCTGGTGAGGATGCAGAAAGGAACTCTAATTGACAGTTTGTATTCAAAAGCATCTTAACATTGTTTCCCCCTTTTGCCCATTCCAACTATGTCTCAATCCTTGTATCCCAGAGCCCTGTTGTTCCAAGGTTGAGCATACATCATTATTTACCTCTGTCCCACTTAGCAAACCTTTGACTGTCTTTTGAATCTTGGTTTCCCTGGCATACCATTATAAAATAGACACTTGAAGGGAAGAGAAAGGAATAGCCAGAAATATCACCATAGAAAACTTGTAAGTCTGTCTTCTGCCTATAACTGATTTGAATACCTAAAATGGGGCTATAATCTGCCCAGTGCAGGAGGCTTCCTGCAGAGCCTCTACATTGCATAAGACCATAGGTGGAATCCTGAACAGCATCCAGAATCTTCAGAGGTGGAAAATTCCTACTTGAAAGGACAAGTAGACCAGCCTGGAATGGCTAGAACAGAAGATACTTCTTGAAAGAAAGACCCACAGGAAAAATAAAAATAAAAAATAAAAAACAATAATGGCAGTCCGACTGATTACTACAAGAACAAGCAAGATGCTCACAAGACACATCAAGGCAAGTGGTAGGGTCCCCTTAGGGCAAACCCCCTTCCAAGACTAAGACTCATGGGGAATACACAAGCAGATATGTGCTCTGACTGGTGAATCGATAAGGGGAAGTGAGGGAAAACAGCAGCTGTGAGCTAAGTCCTACCACGTTCAATAGACTCCTGTGAACCCGGGTGGAGACCTGTTTGGCCAGCAGTATGGCAAGACCTGGGGACTCCTGGGCCTAGAGTCAGTGACATAGCCACAGAGGACTAGAGTAGAGAGTGAAACATCCAGCTGATAAGAAGTGAGGGCATATGCACAAGAACACCCACAATTGCAGATAATACCCATTTGACTGGCTTCAATGGCTGGATGATCAGAGCTCAACTAGAATAAGATCAAAAAAGGCAAAAAGAGTAATGTGATACAATTTGATGAACTTGACCTACACCTATGGATGCAGCAGCTCAAGAGAGGGAACAAATCTTTACAGTGAGGATCATTCCCACCCCCTTGATACAGAGGGTAGACAAGGATGGGCAACTTGGACATTATCTACCCAAATGGGGGGAAACTACAAAGGTAAGAAGTGACTGGCTTTCAAGAGGGAACCTAGATCCAGAGGGCGTAAAGGACGATAGAATCTCCACTGAGTAATATCCAATCTGTCTAGGCAGGACTGATGAAAGGAAATGCGGATAGGTCTCTTGTGATACAATAGTGAATAACTGTTATCAGGACTGATTGTGAGGGTTGGAAATGTAAAGGCAGACATTTTGTAGCAAGGAGGGGCGTGATTAACTTTGTAGTCTAGGAGTAGAGGTCCCTGGGACCATGAAGGGAGAAGAGTGAAGAGCGAGCGGGACCCTACCCAGAGAAGCAGTGATGCCTGAGATGGAGGCAGAGGTGATGATGTGGAGAGATGGAGCAGCTGGGGGTACTTTAGACCCAGAGAGGGAGAGGGACTGTGTGCTGATGACCGGGGCGAGTGGGGGGGTTGGGGGGGAGATGGGAATTGTAGGATATATCCTTTGGTTGGGTGATGATGCATGGAGGGGATTATAACCATGGCAATGAAACAATATACAATAGGATGAATGTAAAACTAATGTTCTCCCATGTAAACTATCAAATAACTCATAAAAAAAAAAAAGAGGGAGCCTAGATACCCAAAATGGGGGGTGGGGGGTAGGGGGGGCTACAAAGGCAAGAAGTGACTGGCTTATAAGCTTTCAAGAGGGAACCTAGATCCAGAGGGCATGGAGGAAGGTAGAATCTCCACTGAGTAGTATACAATCTGTCTAGGTGGGGCTGATGAAAGGAGATGCATATAGGTCCCCTGTGATACAATAGTGAATAATTGTCATCAGGACTGATTGTGAGGGTTGGAAATGTAAAGGTAGACGTTTTGTAGCAAAAGGAGGGGCGTGATTAACTTTGCAGTCTAGGAGCTGAGGTCCCTGGGACCATCAAGGGAGAAGAGCGGAGAACGGGACCCTACCCAGAGAAGCAGTGATGCCTGAGATGGAGGCAGAGAAGATGACATGGAGAGATAGAGCGGCTGGGGACTCCAGACCCAGAGAGGGAGAGGGGCTGTGTGCTGATGACCAGGGAACAGCCTTGCAGGGTCTACCCTTTGGTTGGTTGATGATGCATGGAGGGGATTGTAACCATGGCAATGAAATGATATATGATAGGTTGAATGTAAAGCAAATGTTTACCCATGAAACTATCAAATAATTCACAATAAAACATTAAAAAAAAATTTTTTTGAATAACAGTTTCAAAAATGTCCAAATTTCATCAAAATTATACAGCTGCAAATAAAAGAAGTTCAACATAACCAAGTACAAGAAGCAAAGAAAAACTACACCAGGATAATATAATCAAATTTCTCAAATACAGTGACAAAAGAGGAACTCCTACAAGCAATCGGGGGAAAAAGGACATCACATACAGAAAACCAAAGAAATGAGGAACAGTCTATTTCTCGTCGGAAACAGATAGCAGAGCAAGTACTGAAAAAAACGATAAACCCAGAATTCTATATCCAGCCAAAGTATCTTTCATAAACAAAGGTAGAAGACTTTTTCACACATTTGAGGTAGAAAGGATGTATGACCTGCAGACAAGCACAACAATGGATATTAAAGGAAGTCCTTCAGGTAGAGGAAAAGGGAAACAGGAACTGACACACAGGAATAGAGCACAATTTTTTATTATTTAAATGTCTTTTAAGAGATTTTTTATTTCACTATTTAAACAAAACAAAAAACAATGTAATTAAAGTAAAATGTGTGACAAAAATAGCAGAAAAGGTAAGAGAAATGGAATTTCAAGGGGAGTTCAATTATATCTCAATAAAGATTAGCTCTTCTCGTAAATGGACTGAGGTGATCTCGCAACATGGTTCACTACTTACTTGAGCCAGAAAACTTCACAAAATCATGCAAGTCAAGTGGCTTAATCTCTGGATCCATTCTAAGAATGCGTGGAAATGCGTGGGTCAACAAGAGTATGCACATCTGAAAAGCCACTAGGTGTTTGAAAGATGTCACTTGGTAGAAGCAATGTGTGTTGCTTTGACATTAAAAAGGTGGAGTTGATAGATGTGTCCCGTTGGTCAGGGTCAGTGACCCAAAGAGTGCTGAATTTTTGCTGCACATGCTTCACAATGCAGAGAGCAATGCTGAACTTAAGGGTTAGGATGTGGTCACTGAGCACATCCAGGTGAACAAAGCTCCCAAATGTACTGCTGTATTTACAGAGTTCATGGCTGATCAACCCTCTGCCACAATGAGATGCTCCTCACTGAAAAAGAACGAAGTATTCCTACACCAGAAGAGGAGGTTACATAGGAGAAAAAGATATCCCAGAACAAACAAAAGCTTAAAGTTAGGGAGTAAATTAAGCTTAAAATGCAAATAATAGTTAAAAAAAAAAAAAAAAAGTTAAAAAACTCAAAGGATGCAGGCCGCGATTCCTGGGAGTACGGACTGGAAAACTCAAACGGCTAACCGTGCCGCCTCTAAACGGATGTCACTGAGCAGGAACATACACTCCAGTTCTCTTCTCCAGCCTGTCGGAGCTTCTCCAAGATGTTAACCTCAGGCCTTGGAGGCCATACCTGGCAGGTGAAGAAGGAGGCTGAGGAAGAGGATCCTCTGGACCAGCTAATCTCCCACTCAGGCTGTGCTGCCTCCCATTATGCTGTGCAGGAGTGCATGGCCCAGCATCAGGATTGGCGGCAGTGCCAGTCACAGGTGAAGGCCTTCAGGGATTGCATGGGTAAGCAGCAGGCAAGGCGGCGGGAGGAGCTACAGAGGGAAAAAGAGCAAGCCAGTGCTCACTGCTGAGACCCCAAATCACTTATTCCCAGAGGACAGCCCTACAGAAACCAGAACCCAAGGAAATCTTAGAGGAAGAAAGTCCAAAGAGTGAAACTGTGGGCCAGAAAGTGTAAAATTTGAGGCTAGTGTTGGGACTCGAATTGGCAGTCAGCTAACCATGGGTTTGGACACGACTACCCTAAAGAGCTGCCATGTTTTCATGATCAGATCCCACAGCCTGACCTATATTATTCTACCTATTTTGCCATGTAAAACAATCTACCCCCATCTTGAGTCAGTGTGCCAAGAACTGAATGGATTTAATGAACCTCTTAATTAAAAAAGTGTATTAACAATCTAAAGATAAATTGGTCACTTGCTCAGGTCTTCATTTATTCAGTCATTCTTTCAGCAACAGCAAGTGTTTCTGAGACCTTCCCATGTGCCAGGCCTTGTATCGGAAACTAATGTGATGAATAACATGATCTTTGCCTTCAAGTTATTGAGAGTCCAATTTGAGACAAAGGGAAATCGTAAGTGCCTTTATCTTTTATCAGTTGTTCTGGATGTTTCAGTATAAGGGGAAGAAGAAAGCAAACGGGGGAAACTACTGAACAAACACTGAGTACCTCGTATATACTTTACCAGGTTAAATTAAGGCAGAGTCTGCCCTCAGTATATTCCAACTCAACAGACACAATGTTGGCCTAATATTTAAAAATAATATTTAACATTAAAATACAGATTTTTACCTTAAAAAAACAAACTCAAAGGTTGAATAAAATGATATTAAAGATCCTTTCCATTAAAGCTTCCAATGGTATATTAAATATAACTCCTTAGTCTTCAAGTTTCTAGTTTTTTTAAAAAGTGTCAATACTCCCATTATACTACATATGTTTTTAGGGTATTTCAACATACCTCCTTCCTAAAAACTTTCAAAAAGAGAGAAATATAATTTAAAAGCCACAAATTTACAAGGAAAAATAAAGGAAGCCATAGGAAACATCCATCAAGACATATATGTATACACTCTCCAATTTTCAAAATACTAATTCATTTAGCATTTAGGAAAAAGCTGAGAGTGAGCCTGAAGAGGAGGAAGGGGAGTTCAAACCTTTATACCATGTGTACAATAATACCTGAAGAAGGGAATGCTCCAAACAGTCAGCCAAGAGAGACCAAAAGAGCAGCATGTGCACATACACAAAGCTCAAAAGGCAGGAAAGGAGGAAGACTGCAAACAGGGAACCCAAGGGAGGAAGAGGAAAAAGTGTTGTAACTAACGTGACACATACACACATACACACACAACTGTATACATTGTCGGAACAGAAATTAATTTGGTCTGTTAACTTTCACCCAAACCACAGTAAGTTTTTAAAAGGGAGAATAGTCAATCTGCTCGAGCTGGAATCTAGGATAAGAGGAGATAGGTCACACACAAAAAAATCTTAAACCCTGGAAAGACTCAGAAATTTGAGGTCCAAATGGCTGAGAAGGCATGCTTGAAGTAAGGGAGAAAGTCAGAAGGAAGGGGTGTGTGTCTGTATTATAAGGAACCATTATACTCCCAAGTCCCTTCCTCACTTGAAGAGCTATAGGACTTGGCCCTGTCAACCCTCACAAAGCATTTACGGAGAGGCTGAATCACACGGCTCTGCAACTGCAGGTTACTAGAGTAAATAACTGCCCTACTGATACTTGTTGGAGCGAGTGAATGACTAGGCCCCTTTCCCTGTTCAGTCCCCAAACAATAGCAACCAGACCTATGGTACCTGGACAGGAGTAAGATAAAGAGCACAATGAACATCTAAAAAAGGTGAAAGCAATGACAACTGCCAACAGAACGTAGCTACTCCCTGTTCTCAGCTCTTACAATGCTTTTTTGACATTTAAATCACATTCACGTGTTCTTTTTATACTGGAGTCCTGGTGTGGTGCTGTAGGAGAAGCACCAAACTGCCAGGTCAGTTTGAACCTCAAGGTCGGTGGCTAAAACCCACCAGTCACTCCTCAGAAACCCTCTACAGCGTCGCTATGAGTCGGAACCGATTTGACAGCACTTATCAACAACATTCTTTTTATAAACCATGCACTTTTATCACTTTTGTAAAAACTGACTATGTACTTTCCATCTGTTTATACTAGATTAACACAAAACACAGAAAAACTTCTTTGACTTTTGTTGTTGTTGTTGTTGCTCATTTGTTAATTTTTTCTTCCTTACCTTTTTCCCACCTGGCTTCTCCACAGTGAAAACTTCACTCCAGATTTGAATCCCAGTGGTTTCTGGGTCAGAGCCTCCTCGCCATGAAAATCCAGTTAATGGTTCTTCCAGGTCCCCCAACCAACTTGAATGACTACCTTCCTTCTGCAAGAGATAAGAAATTTCTATTAGATCTTCAATGAGTACATTTACATATCAAGGATAATACATGAGCATTTTGGAACATTAGAAGTCTCATTTTCTAAAATGAAAAAATCCTACCTTACCTGAAAATATAAGTATCGCAGCATAAAGTCCAGGAAGAAGGACTTGCCCTTTCGGAAGGCACCAGCCACTGACAGCACTACCACATCAAGGTCGCGGATGTGGTCCTGCAACAGGACACTGGCCAAGGCTTTCTCCTCCAGTTCAAAGGAATGCTGTTCTTTGTGAACACAAACCACCTGCACTGGGCCAGGCTTTCTGCACTCCATGGCATCACCTGTATTGATGCAGACACAAAAATGTAGTCTCAGAAATCATCAACATCACAATAAAAAATACAAAACAAATGACAGCAACAAGCGTACACCCACCATTAATTACACTGAATGTAAACCGATTAAAGGCACCAGTCAAGAAAAAGAGAGGGGCAGACTGCATAAGAAAACAGGCCCCATCAATGTGCATAAGAAATTTACCTCAGACATAGAGATAAAAATAAACTAAAAATCAAAAGATGGAAAAAAAGATACCAGGCTCATGGCAACCCAAAAAAAGAGCAGGAGTGGCAATATTAATTTCTAATAATACAGACTTCAAGGCAAAAAAACAGCATAAGAGACAAGGGCAGGTATTATATAATGAGATTTAATTAAGGGTCAATCCAACAAGAGGACATAGCCATAATAAATATCTATGTACCCAACGGAAGGGTCCCCAGATACATTAACGGAAGTGAAAAGAGAAACAGACAACTCCACAATAACAGTAGGAGACTAACACACCACGTTCAGTGAAGAACAATAGAGAGACTCAGTAAAGTCACAAAAGACCTTGTTAATACAATCAGCAAACTTGACCTCAGAGTATATACAGAACACTCTCCATCCAATTAAAAAATGCAATACACATTCTTTTCCAGTGCACCTGGAACATTCTCCAAAATAGATCCTGTGTTAGACCACAAAGCATGCCTCAGTAAACCTTAAAACACTGAAATCATACAAAGCATCTTCCTGAATCACAGTACTGTAAAAGCAAGTGTCAATAATATGAAAATCAGGTGGGAAAAACAAATACATGGAAATTGAGTAACACACCCTTGCTTAAAAACTACTGGGTAACAGAAAAAATAAAATGTGAAATTAAAAAATTCCTAGAAGAAAAATTAGTCAGTTTCAAATACTTTTTAAAAATACATTATTGTGAATATGTAGAGAGCAAAAAGTTATTCTAGAGGACACAAAAACACTAACCTTCAAAGAAAATGATGACAAATTAGACTTCATTAAAATTCAGAATTGTTAAAAGACAAGGGAATTTTTTCATGAGTTTTTTGACGTTCCTCCATATCCAGTTTATGCTGACTCACAAGCACTAGTTGACTTTTTCCTTTGTTCTTATACTACTTTCCTCATTTTATCAAGAGAAAGTGAGTTGATATAGTAGAAAAAAAAACATTTTCTTTTTAATCAGGCCAGAGTTCATATCTCACATATATTCCTTAATAATGGGGTGAACTTATGCAAATCAACTAAGATCCTTTATTTCCCATATGTAAAATAGGATTGTTATATTCTGAGCAAAGTTTGTTATGAGCACAAAAATAACTATATTAGCTGTAAAACAAAATAAAATTAAGAATTGTTCATTAAAGTTGCTCATTAAAACACAACATGTAGAGACTAAAAACATACGTCATAACTAGGAGAAAACATCCACAACACTTATACCCACAGGGTTTATATCCAGAATCAAAACAGAAGACAGTAGAAAAAAGACAAACAACTTTATTTAAATTATAAGCAAAAGACTTTGAGCAGGCACTTCACAAACAAGAAAAAAAAAAAAAAAAGATATTCATATGACCAATAATTACTCACAAACAAGAAAAAAAAAAAAAAAGATATTCATATGACCAATAATTACATGAAAACACGGCCATGTTATTGTTTACCAGGGAAAGGTAAATTCAAAACAGAATGTGATACCATAATGTGCCCATCAGAAGGGCAAATTTTTAAGACTAGCAATACCAACTCTGGGAAAGGTTCTGGATAACGGGTACTCTTATACATGAATAGATACATATTTTCTATTTGAAAAACTGTTAGGCATTATCTATGGAGGGAATGACAAACTGAAGAGGAATGGAGTTACATTCATTGTCAAAAAGAACATCTCCAGATCAGTCATGAGGTACAACGCTGTCTGTGATATAATATCCATGTGCCTACACTAAAGCCAGTGAGGATGAAATAGAAGAATTCTACCAACTTCTTCTATCTGAAATTTTTCAAACATGCAATCAAGATGTATTAATCATTACTGGTGATTAGAATGTAAAGGTTGGGAGTAAAGAGGAAGGATCAGTAGTTGGAAAATATGGCCTTGGTGATAGAAAGGATGCTAGAGATAGCATGATAGAATTCTGCAAAATCAATGATTTGTTCATTTCAAATACTTTCTTAGACAGCATAAGAGACAACCATACACATGGACCTCACCAGATGGAATACATAGAAATCAAATTGACTACATCTACGGAAAGAGATGGTGGATAAGCTCCATCATCAGTGAAAACAAGGCCAGGGGCAGACTGTGGAACAGATCATCTATTACTCTTATGCAAATTCAAACTGAAGCTGAAGAAAATGAAAACAAGTCCACAAAAGCCAAAATATGACCTTGAATGTATCCCACCTGATTTGGAGATTATCTGAAGAACAGATTTGATACAATTAAACACTAAAGACCGAGGATCAGAAGAGTAGTAGAATGACATCAAGAACATCATACATTAAGAAAGCAAAAAGTTATTGAGAAAATAAGAAAGAAGGAAAAGGTCATAATGGATGTCAGAAGAGACACTGAAACTTGCTCTCCAGCATAGAGATGCTAAAGCAAATAGAAGAAATGAGGAGGTCCAAGAGCTGAAGAGAAAATTTCAAGATCAGCTCGAGAAGATAAAGCCAAATATTACAACAAAATATGCAAAGATCTGGAATCAGAAAACCAAAAAGGAAGAACACACTCTGTAGGACCAAAGAGAAGAATCCATTTTGTATATAAGCTTTAGCACATCTAGCTCCAAGAAAATGATATATGTATAAATAGCCAGGCAGCTCAAGGCCAGATGCCAGATGTTTCCTTTGCCCTAGCCTAAGAACAAAGACCACCAGTCCTGACCAATTAAACTGTAACATCTCATAGTTTGCCAATTGTTAACCAATCCAAAAATTGTAAAGCTGAGAAACCCAAGCTTGTTTGAAAACTTTATAAAAACCCCACAGACAAAGGGTTCGGGGATCTATCCCTAATCCGCTGTGTCGGATGCAGGTGGAGTCCGAGCTCGAGCTTGAATAAACAACCCTTATGTATTTGCATCAGCGACAGCTCCTTGGTGGTCAGTCTTTGAGGACCCCGAATTCTGGGCATAACAACTCAGCATTTCTCAAGCTGGCGGAACTGAAGAAAAAATTCAAGCTTCAACATCCATTACTGAAGGATTCTCTGGGCAAATTACTGAATGATGCAGAAAGCATCAAGAGAAGATGGAAGGAATACACAGAGTCACTGTAACAAAAGGCAATGGTTAATGTTCAACCATTTCAAGAGGTACCATATGATCAAGAGCCAATGATACTGAAGGAATCTTTGTATCAAAGGTGCTTTGAAGGAATTGGCAAAAAACAAGGCACCAGGAATTGATGGAATAAAAACTGAAATCTTTCAAGAAAGTGAGGCGGCACAGGAGGCACTCACTCATCTCTGCCAAGAAATTTGGAAGACAATTATCTAGCCAACTGATTGGAAGAGATCCATATCTGTGCCCATTCCAAAGAGAGGTGACCCAATGGAATGCGGAAATCATTAGACAATCTCTTTGATATTCCATGCAAGTAAAATTTTACTAAAGGTAATAAGAAACGGCTACAATCATACGTTGATAGAGAACTTCCAGATGTTCAAGCCAGATTCAGAAGAGGCCGTGGAACAAGAGATATCATCGCTGATATCCGATGGATCTTGGCTGAAAGCAGAGAATATCAGAAAGATGTTTACCTGTGCTTTGCTGACTACACAAAGGCTTTCAATTGTGTGGATCATGACAAGCTACGGACAACATTGCGAAGTATGAGTATTCTGGAACACTTAATTGTGCTCATGAGGAATCTGTACCTGGACCAAGAAACAATTGTTCGAACAGAACATGGGAACACTGAATGTGAAAAAATTAAGAAAAGTGTGTGACAAGGTTGTATTCTTTCATCATACTTATTCAACCTGTATACAGAGCAAATAATCCGAGAAGCTGGGTTATGTGAAGACAAACATGGCATCAGGATTGGAGGAAGACGCATTAACAACCTGCGATATGCAGATGATACAACCTTGCTTGTTGAAAGGGAAGAAGACTTAAAACCCTTCAGTATGGAATACATCTCTATGTAAAGAAACAAAAATCTTCACCACTGAACCAATAAACAACATTCTTATCAACAGAGAAAAGATTGAAATTGTCAAGGACTTCATTTTTCTTGAATCAACTATCAACACTCACAGAACAGCAGTCAAGAAATCAAACGACGTATTGCATTAGGCAAATCTGCACAAGACTTTTTGAAAGTGTTAAAGTGCAAAGATGCTAGCTTGAGGAGTAAGGTGCGCCTGACCCAAGCCATGGTATTTTCAATAACCTCATATGCATGCAAAAGCTGGACAGTGAATAAGGAAGACTGTAGAAGAATTGATGCCTTTGAGTTATGGTGCTGGAGAATAATATTGAAAGTGCCATGGGCTGCCAAAAGAACCAATAGATCCGTTTTGGGAGTAGGGCAGCCAGAGTGCTCCTTGGAGGCCAAGATGGCCAAACTTCATCTCTCATACTTCAGAGATACTGTCAGGAGGGACCAGTCGCTAGAGAAGGATATCATGTTTGGTAAGGTCAGAGAAAAAGAGGAAGACTCCCAAGGAGATGGATTGGCCAAGTGGCAGCACTGATGGACTCAAGCGTGGCAACAGTAGTGAGGTTGGCCCAGGATCAGGCAGTGTTTCGTTCTGCTGTGCATAAGGTCGCTATGGGTTGGTACAACAACAACAACTGAAATCAAATACATCTGTGATCTAGCAAACCCGCTCATAGGTGTAAATCTAAGATAAATGGATGTATAAGTTCACCAAGAGATGTATACAAGACTGCTCACATCAGTTTTATTGAAAACATCCAAAATTTGAAGTAACCCAAACGTCCACCGACACAGGAGTAAAGGACTGTGA